ATGACATTTATTAGTGAGTGTACTTTCATTTTATCACAATAAATCCAAAGTGCCCGCAATCTCACAAATGGGCAAACTCCTTTGCTGTGTGATAACATGTGCCACACTTTGAGAGGGATTTTGTATTGTTTTACGTAAGTTATTATAAAGGAAGAGACCGATCACATGAACAGAAATCACTTGAGGTAAAAAAAGGTTATAACTTTAATTTTTCGCATTATTAATTATTATTAATTCTATGGACTCTAATATTAACTATAATTAATTAATTAACATTGTTTAATACATGACTGACCTTATCTTAATAATCTTTTAAAACATTTTTAAACTTTTAAACATTAGATGCATAATTTATCTAATTATCATAAATGTTAATTATCCAGTCATTTATGTATTGTACGATTAGATTTAAAAAATATAATTAAATAATAGGTTTGTTTTTTCTAGTGAAACATTTTTGGTTTCAAAGTACCATAACCATAGAAATAACAAATATTATTCTTAAAACTTGATATTAAACTGTAGGAATAACATTTATGTTAAATAATAGCCATAGACATAACATTAAATGTCATGCTAACTGAATTGAGCTAAAAAATAGTAATTAAAGTGACAAACATCTAAACACATCTAAAAAATTAAAATAAAGTACATTATAAAATTTTCTAAATCATTACGAGCTAAACACATAAAGTTACCTGCGTCGACAATGGCCTCGTACGTGGTCTCGAGTAGTATACGACCGGCCGGATCGATGTGATCCGATTGGTTGCCATTAAAGCCAAAGAACTCGGCGTCAAACTTGTTAAGTGACCTGATTTTGCCGCTCCTATTAGTGATGCCGAACAGACCCATTGGCCACCGACGGGCGTCATCTGTCACCAGGTCTTTGTTGGCGTACAGATTGTCCCGCAATTCGTCCATTGAGTCGGATTCGGGAAAACGACCCGAAATTCCCGAAATGACCACATCGTCGTCGTTGTCGCTGAAGATCTCATTTAAATTCATTGTCTATAAACAGATAATGAATACACATTTTCCAGAATATTATACTTAAATGTAATGTTTACTGTTATGTTAATGTAATGTTTACTATGTTATATTTTGTTATAATTAATACAAGTTATATTTCATACTACATTTAATTTTTACGTTTTATAAATATTATTAAAATTTAAGCATATTATTCACCTCTTGATGTTATTTAAAATAGTTTGTTATATAAATGTTAACACAATTTGTTTGAAAACAATTCTATCAATTGATTTAACATTTATATTACAAGCTATTTAAAAATAGTTCATTAATATGCTAATAGATACAATTTATGAATGTTAAATTACTTTGCAGAATTTAAACAACATTTATGAAACATAATAATAATTTACTATTAATGAATGATTATGCGCAAAATTGATTAATTTCATAGCATTAGGTTATGATAGGTGTTATGTGAAGGTTAATTAGCGGATTAATAAAGTAATTCAGTGAATTATTTCATAAGGCGTTGTTCACAAATCACGTTTGCACTTTGGGGGGGGGAGGGGGTCGGCAAAAGCAAACTTTTGCAAACAAGGGGAAAGGGGTATAGATCTTAAAGTCATTCGCGTTTAAATAATTTAAGGGGTTAATTGATTATCAAAGTGAATCTAATAAGGGAACATGAGAAGGTAATTTTGTAAAATGACTACATGCAAACAAAGAGGGGGATGGGGTCTAGTCAAATAAAATGTGGATTACGCCTAATCAAATGTGTCGCCTAAAAATTAAAAACTCTGATTTATTTGCAATTTAATTATTATAATCTAATATAAGTAAGCAAGAATGTAAATTATAATTTAGTTAGCAAATTAGAGTCAAAAATTTGTTAACAATGCCAAGTTTGATGTTAAAATAATAAAAAAATATATTACCTGAGTTAATCACTTGATTGGTGATTTTAATTGTAATCAATTTAAATTGAATTTAATTATATTAATTAATTTTACAATTACTAGATAAACAAATAGAAAATAAATCTAACTTAATAAACTTTATTTAATATATTATTTAACTTATGAGTTGTATGTTTTAATTAATATATTCAGCGATTAAGCAAGTAATGACATGACATATGACTTATATACCCATGGCCAAATGGGGTACCTTGCTAAATATAGCATGTGGTGTATATGGGGTGATGGCGACGGAAATATTGTTTATTAAAACTGTCATTTTAATATTTCAATTTAAAATATGCATGATTTGTTTTTAACATTTATTTAAAATGTGTTTTTTGAATAGTTACAAATGTTTACAAAAATAATTTACAAAGAATAAACAAAATTAATTTAAATTAATGAATATTTTAACTAAAATTTTATAAATCCAAATATAATCTTTTAAACAAAAACTTTAAAAAATACTTTTAAATAATAATTATAACTTTTATAATAAAAAATAGATAAAATTAATGCATTTATTATTCACTTTGCAGGCAATCTATTGATTGTAAAAGTTATAAATAAGATACCAGGTACTAGATACTAGGTAGACATTTTACAAATTATGCTAGAATTTTTAAAAATGTTTTTTACAAATTTAATCTTAATTTATTTTGTAGTTTATATTATCATTATTAATGACTCGTTTCAAAAGGTATCAATACTTTAATTCAAGTTATAACAAGTATAACATTTCCAATATTAGGTTCTTTTGAGAACTAATGGTCCATAATATCAGTCTATTTGAATGTCAGTCCTTCTCGTCATTGCACTACTGGTGATACTAATCATTGAATTATAGACATCGACGGCGCTAACCATTGGCGTATATTAGGGATTAATTGGATTAAATCTATGAGCATTAACCTGTAAAAATAAGTTGTAGACAATTATTGCTGTAATTTTATGTATTTTATACTATTGGCTTAATTTTACAAATATATTTGAAAATATTGGGTTATATTTACAACTGTATTTAGTGATACTAATGGTCCCACTTTAACATTGTTTTATATAAAACGGACCAGGAACATAAAATAATGAGTAGTTGATTATAAGTTAATATGTATCATTTAACATTACATCGAAGTGTTTATGGGTTTGAGAATGAAATGATTATAATTGTGGTCACACATTGACTATAATGAGGTTTAATTATAACAGTGGTTTAATTGTATTAATATATTTAATTAATTGTGTTAATATGTATAAATTCAACTTTGGATATAAAATAACGCAAAATTGTTATCGAAATCCATTTATTATACTGTACATAGACAATTATACTATGCGTTAAGTTAGTTCTATGGCTAATCACTAGTTTGTGAATTCTAAATACAATGGGAAATGTTAAAATTATATGCTAATGTAATCTTATTAAGTGGTAGGTAACCAATGATTGACGTTTAAAATAGTATTAATTGAATTTTAAAAATGTTAGAAATTCTGATACAAGAAAAGATCTCAACATGGATTTTACCAAAAATGATATTTTTAACAATTTAGTAAAAATACCAATACATTAAAATTTAAACTTTATTGACGTTTATTTTATTCAAAATCATTATTAAACTATTAAGTGTATAATATTAACAGATAGCGTTTAAAATTCACAATATTCGTGAACGGTTGGGAAATATTAAGGAAATAATTTTGCACAATATTTTAATATATTGCTAATTTATTATAACAAAAAGCCACAAAAACAACAACAAAAATTATTCTATTACAAAACTTAAAGAATAATTTTAAATTTAGATTAGTAATTTATAAATGCTAAATTACTACTGTACTAGATCTTTTAAAAATTATAAATACTCAACAATTCGCAACTTACACATCAATTTATAAACATATATTTTATGAGTTAAAAGTAGTTGCATTTTTTTGGTGGCTGTATTATAATACAATAATTACTATACAGTAGAAACGATATTAGTCAATTAATTATGAAAATAAAATCTAAATACTGTTTATTTGTAATATTTATTACAATATTTATTAAAAGTAATTATGGATTAGATTCCGATGATTACGACTTCGAGGGAACGGATAATAGTTTATTGAATGAAACGGACAGCAAATCTAATGACGATAATGAAGATAATCGGTGCTCAGAAGACGAGATAATTGACAAAATGATTGATATAATGACTCCCGAAGACTATAACGAGGGAAAAGTGATCACAGATTACAAGAAATTAACATTTATTCAAATATCGAAAGCATCGCAAAGATTGGGTACTTTTAGTAGAAATATTAGCGCAAAGACCGAAGGATTGAATAAAAGACTTTCCAATCGATTGTCGGAGACATTAATGAGCGTTAATTTAGAGCCCAATTGTATGCAATCTCTCATCAGAATTATGTCTGCCGTCAAGAATGGAGAGCTTTGGGCCCTTAAATGTAATACATTTTATTTATTTATAAATTCTAAAGCATTTGCCAAAAGACAAATAATCTATAACTTAATTATTAATTTCATAATAATTGTAATTCTAATTGTTAGTACACTTTTTATATTAAAAACGGTATTAGTGAATACCGTTTACTAAAAAGTGGTAAATCTTTAATATTACATTACATCATAGTTCTTGACGCCCAGCCGTCGATGACAATGACAATAACAGAGCTGTCGGGTCCGAGTCATGGCAATTATGATCAATGTCTAAGTATTGTGAGTCCCGAAGTAGAGGATCAGCCGGTGATCAAAGGACAGTACTGTTCAATGGATACCAACTTTTTGGTCGGTTTAACAAAGGAAGACACCGGAGAAGGAGATAATGACGGTGTGAATCGAGTGATGAACAAATCGACTTTTGCCAAAAATGTAATGACAGGAATACTGGGGGCTTATATACCCATAACTGTGGCCCGGAGTCAGCACAGCGTTAATTTAGACCAATTGTTGGAATATTTGCATTACTTTATTAAAAAAGACATGAAATTTGTCAGTGGTTTCTGTTTGCCCACCACTTGTAGACCCGAAGACCTGTCCGACGCTATCAATGAAAGTAAGTTTTAATAAATGTTATAATAAAATATTTTACTATTAAAATTGCTAAAAACAATTTTAAAATTTTATATGCAGTCATGTATCCAATTACTCGACTGCCCATTAAATTTCATAATGATTGTGAATATATTGATAAATCGATTAAATTGGATAACGAACAGATGATTGCTACGTTTGTATTAATACTGATTTACTGATTAAATTAGTTAATATTAATGCATAATCAAAATCTAGAGTAATATTTTCCACATTAATACTTATGGTAATATTGGGAACAATACTTCACTGTTCGTCCCGAAAATCAATAATCAACCGATTTGTGGGCAAAACAACGATTGCATACATTTTGAGGTGTTTTTCAGCGAAAAAGAGCACAAAACAGATTTTCACTCTTAAAAAATATGATAAATTGAAGGCATTGAATGGCCTGAAGACCTACATGTCGTGCCTAACAATACTGATCCATACCATTGAATTCGGGACTTTTATTTTTCATATCCGTAATTTTTATTTATCAGTTACTTATAAGATATCATTGAATTACTGGAACTTCTTTATCCCTAACGCTCTACATATGGATACGTTTATGTTTATATCGGGTATATAGTAATACTTAACGCTTCTAAATATGACATTTTGCTAATTATGATAATTTTTCAAAATATTTTCCAGCATTTCTGATGTGTAATGCAATTCTATCTCAATTAGAGAAAAGTAAAGGAAAATTCAATTATTTTCATTTTATAATTTATAGGTAAACACATGTTAAGCTCTCTCTCTCTCTCTCTCTCTCTCTCATCAGAATTATGTCTGCCGTCAAG